TGAACAGAAGAAAAAAGTTGGAGGAAGATTCACATCATACATGGCAGATTCTCCACTGGAAATGGGAAATGAATTTAATACTGGAGGAATTGAAGGTCAATACAAGAACATGAATATCTCAGAAATCATCAAGCAGGAACTCAGGAAAATGGTGAATGAAAAAGGAGCTAGTTCTGGAAGCAATGTGAATTTTGCTCATATAGACAATTTTGCAGGTTCAACTCTTAAACTTGATTTTAATTCTGCTCTGAGTGCTTCCAGCCAAATATGATCTAAGTTATGGATTGTAGATGCTGGAGCCTCTAACCAAATGTGCAGTGACATTTTATTATTGAAAAATCTTGTACCTGCAAATAAAACCATTCACGTGTTCTTACCTGATGGTATTATGAATTTTGTTAAACATTTTGGTAATGTTCATTTCCATAAACACTCTTCATATTCCTACCTTCAAATTCAACCTCTTATCAGTAAGCAGGTTAACCAAAGCTTTAAACCTGAAATTCATTTTCATGAAAGATCATTGCCTTTTGCAGGACCTCTTGACTGAGAAGATACTAGCTATAGGGAGGTTGATAAAGAACTTATACATACTTGATCAGACCTCCTTCTATTCTTCTACCATTGAGTCTTTCATTTCTAATACTTGTAATGTTTTCTCTTCAAATAATTCTTCCCTTAGTGACATTAATGAAACCAAAGGTGAATCTATCATTCTCTGGCATATGAGGCATGGCCATGTTTCTGGCAGTGTAATGCAACATCTGAAAATGATGAGACCTTTTAACAAAGAAATACTTTCACCTTGTGATGTTTGCTCTTTCTCCAAACAGCATAGGTTATCCTTCACTAGTTGTGATATTAAGACATCTGGCACATTTGAAATTTTACATGTTAACTTATGGGGACAATGTTCGCTGAAAATCGTACCGCAAGTGCACGGGTCGCGTTCAAGTAATAAAGTGGACCTTAAGAGTCCGGATTGTCGATCCCACGAGGAATGTATACTTTGGATTACACAACTTTAATCGATTTTAATTCTAACGACAAAAATAAACACAATAGGAGCCTTTGCCATTTATCTAGCAGTGTTATGCAACACTTGAAAATGATGAGACCTTTTAATAAAGAAATCCTATCACCTTGTGATGTTTGCTCTTTCTCCAAACAGCATAGGTTATCCTTCACTAGTTGTGATATTAAGACATCTGGCACATTTGAAATTTTA